TGCATACCGTGCAGTGTTGAATATCTAAAATATAAAATTATGCATAAAACAAAACTGTTTACACTTCAAAAACACTTTGTTCGAAAAGCGTTTCGACCTCATGAGGTCATCATCAGTGGCGAAGACATATTAATTAAAGTAAGACTTCGGCCAGTGGATATTATGTTGCTATGAGTGACTCCAACTCTTGTACAATATAAACGTTCAATGTGGTATTACATGAAGTATGATTTTATAAAACATGACTATTTTTACGCACAGTCCTTTATAACAACGCGTTGATTTATGAATTGTATGATTTTAATAGACAGATTAATGGACTTAATTAATATGTTTTCGCCACAGACCTCATGAGGTCGAAACGCGTTTGGCACAAAGTGTTTTTTAAAATGTAAACAGTTTTTGTTTGTATTGATAATTTTACATTTTAGAATTCCAGATATCAATCATTTAATCAAATTGCTGGCGTTCATGCATATTAAGAGACAGTCTACGATGGAATGTTATTGAAATAAATTCTGCAGTAAAATATGCTAGAACAATCTGCAAAAATAGGGCCTGTATGGAGACGTTAAACTTATTTATTGTGTACAATAGCATTGGTATAAAAGTATGTCCAGAAAGCGATTTATATAGTCATATTTTCTGATTTTACTCAGGTCTTCGGGAGATTTAAGGGCATTCCTCATCAACCTGGCTGTGTCCGATGTCACAATGGCTGTTTTTTCAATTCCGTTCACCTACACCATGTGAGTACGTTGCTATGACGATTCGCCATGAAAAATGATCCTATAGTTGACATGAAAACTTTCTTCGCTCTGCCTTTAAAAATGACGTTTCTGTTTTGAAACTTCGAGATACGAATTATAGTTTTTAAACTCATAAGGGAATTATAATGTGTGGAGAGCTGTCAGCCAATTCTCCATCTACTGAATTCTACTGAATGGCTAATAAAATATATTACATGGACAACAGAAAAGATTGTCTATGAAATGATTATGAAATTGTGTGGAAAGATTTACCATTACGTTATGCCAACTAATATCTACGTTGGTTGGGTTTGGTTGGATGTTTGAGTGGTTGATGATCATTGCAATTTTGGGCTATATAGGATAATATTTATGATGTATGTGTTGTTATAACCGTTGCCATGGTAATGTTGTGAAGAAATGTCGGGTTTTAACCCACGATATTTATGACAATGTGTCACTCTTGACTGGCGATTTGCTGGTCGCTTCGCTAAATTTTTCTTATTAACATGAGGTGCACAGTGAACTATAGTAAAATATATAACACATGATACGGACTAAACTCGTATTCTGTGTCTCATGGAAATTCTCATGGAATCAAAAGGCAAATGACACATAACTCATGCAGGTCCTTAAATAACATAACCCTTAAAATAAAGTAATATAAATTTATATTTGGTAACACCCATTTGACTTCAGAGCCGTATGTAATATTTCGCCTAAACTTAAAATAAGCTAGAGTTAAGTTAATCGTTTGGATTACATAATTCTGAAAATTAAATTACGTTATTGAAACGTTATAAAACAGAAATGCATGTATAATGTAGGCGGAGTTTCATAAAAAAATTAGGGTTTGTCGGTTTTTAAAAACCGGTTTTTTGGAACAATTTGTAAAATTCGAAAACCGGTTTTTTAAATTTAAAAAACCGGTTTCAGATACTAGAATTATTATGGAAAAATTAGTTAATTAATTAAAAACGTTAATATTTTGACTTGAAAAGCTCGTTCATACGAGAGTCTTTGCAACAACGCGGATATTCATTACCAAAAAACAACTCTGGAGTAAAGGATCTCATTCATACGTTTTATGACAATTCCAAACGTGAAATTATAAATAAATTCGATTGTATTAAGAAGAATGGGATTTTTTTTATAACTTTAGATGAGTGGACTATCAAAAGATATCACAGATATTTGAATATCAACGTACACCATTTTGCGGAAGAATTTAATTTGGGCTTAGTTCCAATAGCTAGTTCCTGCGATGCTAAGAAAACATTAGAATTAGTTTCCGAGAGGCTAGAAATTTTTAACTTGGATCTAGCAAACGACATAGTTTATAATTCATATTTTGTACGGATTTTAGTTATTTTAGTTTTCTATTTGGTTTTGTACAGAGTATATTTTATTTTGTTATATTTTTCTAATTCCATAAATATTAAATAAACTGAAAATTTTTAAAATAAGTATAAATATTTTTAATGGTTTAACTATTTTTGTTTTGTTTTTTGTAAAAATTCGAAAACCGGTTTAACCGGGTTTTTTGAAAAATCCTGGAATTCGAAAACAGCTTTTTTCAAAAGTCGGTTTTTGTATAAATCCTAATAAAAATCTATTAAAGGATTCGGGAGAGAAAAGTAAGTTTTAATTAGACCCTTAAAAGTCAATCACAGTAATATTTGTATTATACAAGTACGCGTACAATACTTGAAATTCTATCACAGTACGTGAAAAGAATTAGGAGCGCACACACGTATTAATAAACAAACTATTGTTACCTGAAGTGGACCTTTGATTAAATTAAACAAAACAAACGCACGTAATAATCACGTAATACAAAAATAGCTCAATAAATTTTGAGTAGTTTCACCACACACAGTTTAGGCCGTGTTAAATTCGGACAAGCAGGCAAAATGGGCACAAGGAAAGTTTGTGACCTTAAAAAATTTCTTGTTTCACACATGCATCTAACATGAATGTTAGGGTAACCTACTATTTCTTCTTTCACGTCTTTGAAATTCGATTATTTTATGATCCACTTCGAACAGCAAGGACCAAAGAAATTAACTTTGCAAAGATTTCCTTGCCTAATAATAATAAATCATATCACACAGAAATAATTGATATTAGTATTATCGCGTTGACTTTATTTTAAATAATATTCGGTTGAAGTTATATGTAACGTTAAATCATGACTGCTGATTCCCATGATTAACGCACCATATAATAATGAATACTAAATAATTTTTAAAATATTTTAAACCATAGAGGTATTATTTTATTATATTACGATAATATGAAATAGCAAAATTTTTATAAGTTTTTAAGGAATATTAAATATAATTTGTTTCCCAGTCTGCTACTGAAACAATTTATAAATTCGAATTTCCAGCATAACGTATATAAACGTAACAGTTCCAGTATCTATTATTGTACTCTGTATGCTATCTGTGAGGATGGCATTTTTGCCGAAATCCTGAGTAAAGCAAAATGTAACACATTCTTTGATTTAAATAAAAAAATGATTGTATCCGATGACATGAAAATGTAGACGAAAAACTATTTGTTTCTGACAATTAAAACTTACTGCTCTAAATTACACGTTAAAATTGTAATAACCGAGAATATAAGGTAATAATGATCGCGAGTCATTAAGAAAACTTACAATGAAATAAATAAACTCATAAAAACATAAACGTACTCAGCTTAAAGTCATTACCAGAATTAAATAAACATAATGCTTGCAGTAATTTCTTGAATTAAACACCAAAATTGAGATACTGCACTTTTATTACTAAAACGTTCGTCGACTTTAGTTAAGCATTATTTATTTCTGAAGTTTATACCCCCATTAGCTTGTTACACAATGAGACAATATTACGAAAGACTAAACGAAAATAACCTGGTTCCCTTTTTAGGTCTGATAACTTCTGAACGTGACCGGACTTGATATCAAGTTGTCACGTAAATGACGAAAGATTATCCAGATGGATAAATTAATACACCAAATACACATCCTACTTCCTTTTGCTCTCACACGACTACAAGTGTCAGACATCATTGCAAGGGTTTACGTAATAGCAGAAGCTGTTCAAAACTTTATCTTGCTAAATTTGCAAGGCGGCTAATTGCTACACGTGCGTTTCAAGTTTAGAATTGTAAAGTTCTAACAAATTTTAGCTGTGAAGTGCAATCGAAGCCAAGGTTACTTTACCATCCGAAAACTGCATAAGCTCAGAATAAAAGCACAACGCCGTTCGTATGCGGCAACTTCTCCGACAGTTGTGTAGTGCGGCTCAGTCTACATCACACGCGCGCTCTCTAAACGATCTGAGGTAACAGGAGATTTGTGATGAAAAAGACGATGCTGGCACACACGTAACAGATAGAAGCAGGGAGTCTGTCTTCTTCTCTTAAAGCTGATGTACTAAATGTCTTTTTTAAGGGATATAACAGAAGGTCTGCCAACACAGCTTATTAACCGTTTTCATTTTTCTACGAAAATAAATTTAATTAAACCAAATTAATATTATTACACTTTAATTTACAATAAGTAGAAGTACAAATGAGAAATTAAGTACTTAAATTTCTAAAGTCTATAAATTAGTTGAATAATATACGTGGGGGGGGGGGTTAGAATTTGTAGTCTCCACCAAATATTCTGCAAGTGAGCAGGTCATAATAAATATTGTTTTCCCATTAATGATTGATTAATTCGTATACGCATCCAGAGTAATATTATTCAACCCAAAAACATTCTAATTATGTTGCTGTTAACAAGCATAAATATCAGTGACAGATATTCGGACCGTACACTACGAAGTCCAGAGTCTCAACGTAACATCAACCTTGACAAATGTCGACGAAATCTATGGGGACAGATACTTAAGTTCATAACTTTTTCTTACAAGAGAATTAAATAGTGACAAACTTTCCAATTCATACGGATTATATTAGAAAAGTTAACTTTTCGTATAACGAGACGAGAACTCTGCTTCTGAGTAGGCTATGTGCTAGACACTACGCCGCCATTTTGCTGTTTGCGAGTTTCGACTAATCGCATCGATTGTTTGGCAGCTTTATGCTGGGACGCTGGATCTTCCATCCCCTATTCTGCTCCGTGGTGATAGTCATGCAACACGTATCTGCCGTCGTTTCGGTCTACACCCTGACTGCTATAGGCATCGACAGGTAAGTTTTATTACGTAGACTTTCAAACGCCACAATACATCTCTGTCAGTAAAGTTACTGAATGGACGATCGATTATCGATTTTCTTTCATCACCTATTCGTCCAGACGACCTCTGAGGCCACTCGGTAAACTATTCAGTACCTCACGGCAAGTCTTTACCCATAGTTAAAGCGGCCGAATCGTGGACGTAACTAATTACCAACTCCGATTACTGACATTAAGCAGATTTTCCGCCTTATATGCTCATGGCTTCGCCCTTCTTAACTGCAGATTACACACATTCACATCCAACGTAGTTGCCGAGTGGGTAACACTCATATTTTATATTAGGGAGGTCCCAGCTTCAAATCTCGGTTCATAGACAGGCTAGTCTGATAGATTTTTTCGTCTTTTATTCAGACAAATGCCGGGATAGAACGACTAGTTCTTTCAATATCATTTAAAATTTATAATTTACTAATTAGTCCATCATTCGACGCTACAGGCCTATACATTATGAGATACTGACAGATTTGTTAAATAAAACACAAACAAATAAATGTATATATTCGCATCCGAGACCAATCGTCCTACACAAAGCTCTCCAGACCGATAACGCCAAATTTTCGTTGCTCAATAAAGTTACTTCATTCAAAAGACTTTCTATTTTCATATCACTAAATCGTGAACCCTTGATTTCTGTCAGCCACAGCTAATGTACGAACGTGGTCTACAGAAACTTATGCACTCTACCCAGATTACTGAAAGTCTTGTGAATGGAAAGCCTGCTGTGTTATTAAATCTTGTTCGGTGTGGATAATTAAAATATAAGAGGAACTGAAAACATATGTAGGTACATATGAACTAGCCTGGTACAATAACTTTAAGCCTATAGGCAAATAAATGTTACGTGTGTAGAAGGCCAGTCTCTATCACAAACCATTAACATGGACAAAAGATCTCGGAAACTATTACAAGACTTCCTTCTAGAACAGTCGGATCTGCAACCTAAGTGACTGAGGGAGACGTTCTACTATATTCATTCCAAGAGGTCATATGAATACAAATGTTACTTTAAAAGCTCCTCCGTATAACAAACAAACATTAAAAGTACTTTCAGTTGACATGAATTTTTGGGTTACGAAGGATTACACAGTAAAAGTGGTCATCTTCACCAAGGCAATCGCCCTGATGATGGAGGTAGCAAGGACCTCCGAAACGTCGGTAAACTTGGATCAGAATACACGGCGCAACAACTCGGAAGACGGACATCTTCATACTCGCAGCCGTGAGAACCTCAAATCTCCGATTAGACAGCGTTCATTTTTAAAATAACTCTTATAAAGTGTCACAGTACAAATTTCAGAGGTGATTTTAAGGTAATTTGTCAGTCGCCACATTCCGGAAGACAGCCATCTTCATATTCGCCGCCTTGACAACTTTAAATATCAATTAAAATGTTTATCTTTCATTGGCACCTGCCTTGCTGCTTTCATAACACAAATTTGCATCGAACATGAAGATTCTGGTGAAATATTAAATGAATATCAGCTTTACATTCCAAGATTTCTGTCTGGGCGAACCGTATCTTTTGAAGGCAAGCCAACCTTACAAAATTTAGAGGGAATTTCTTTACTGGAATTGAGTGTTTCTCAGAAGGAGAATATTTTGCAGTCTAAATTCAAAAGAAGAGAAATTCCACAACTTCTGAAATGCAACTTAAGCTCTAGCTCGACGAATGTAAATAAAAAAGAAACGTGAAATTTAGAAGCGCATATTACATCTGCGGGATCCCCCATTATACGGATGAAAAGTAACGTAAAGTACATTGAATCTTCATTTACAGACAAGCATTTTGGAAGACAGGTAAATCGACAGGGAATCCGAATTTGTGTCTTTGTAGCTGTGAATTACGTCATTTTAAGGTTTTAACCGAATTTTGGTCTTGTTTTAATAAGAGACTGTTTTCTTGTGACCACGAAACCGATGTAAGTTTCCAGAATGGTCTAAATTATAAATTGTTCTTTCGGAAGTAATTTGTTGAAATAAGTATTTTTGCATTTGCTCAGTATTCTGTCTGAGGCGCCTTTTGCAAAATTGAGTCCTGTCTGCCCTTTCAACTTCCTTATAAGTTCTTCCGCATTTAGTCTGACAAACGAACTCCGATGTCTCTTAACCTCCAGACCTGACTTCGGCTGGTCTTGTCTGCAATTTCAGTCAATTACTATTTCGCTCCTTTCTCATTGGTCTACAAGACTTCACGCTTCCAGCAAACATAAAAATCGACGACAACCGATCCCAGTGCACACAATCATTTCAAATCGAAACGAAGCTTGGGTGCGTTGATGCCGAACTCCACCCAAATAAAAATACTTAACATAAAAGCAGGTTTTACTACCAGCTTATTCATTGCAACAGAAAATTTGTATCGAATGAAGACGGTACTAAAAACACAAACACACTTAGGAGCATTAATAAATTTCTTGCTTTCAAATTTATTTAACGATGCTATTTCAAATATACAGTTCATATTTGCGTCGAAAGACAGGAAAACTGCATTTCATGACTTAGAAGGCACATGAAAGGACTTTTTGTCACCTATTTTAAGGTATATTCGTATCGAGTTTTTGAAGGGACTGATGAAAACCACGAGAACTTCACTACGCGCCCGACCTCTGGACAGGTCCTGGATCTTGAAGCAAAACGCTAACAGTTATACATCACGACGTCTGGTTACTTACGAGACAACGCAAGGTTGCACAAAGCAGTAATATTTCCAAAAACTGTGTTCCCTTTCTATTAAAATTCTAAGTCAATTTAATCACTTCCTTGCTTAATCCTTCATAGAATTTATAATAGAGTCAAGTCTGTTATACTGGCGTCCCGTTAATTACAATTTTAAATTTTGGCCTACAACTGAACTCCAACGATAAGATATACTTCTCAGAATCTTTCAAGTATTGGTTTCGTCATAATAAGATTTTACAGACAGTACACTTTGTGGGGACATATTGTACGTATTTAAACTGAAGATGAATAAAGTGGCACTAGGACGATGAAAACGATTCAACAAATATTATTAGGATTAACAAATCAATAAGAAATGTGTAAAATATTTTGATTGAAAAGCCTAAAGGAAAGAGGTTATTGAAAAGACACATTAGTAGAAGAAAGGATAATATTAAAACAAATGCTAGGATAGTAGGGATGGAGCTTGTGGAATTGGTTAATCTGGTTCAGGTTAAGATCTGGTAACGGGCACTTTTGATCCATCGGGTTCCATAAAAGACGCTGAATTTCTTGACAAGCTCCTCTTCGGTTGCGAAAAGAGACTCTAATTCATGAAGTTAAGATAAACAAAACCTTCATCGCAGGGATTTTTTAGCCTAAACCCCACGACCAAATTTACCCTTGCATATCGACTCGCGAACCTCTAGGTTACAAATTAAAATTTTACAATAATTAAACGAAGCTACCAACATGTCCACGTAGTACCAAATAATATCCCTTGACAAACCCCGTTACTAGTGACGTATTTGACAATCAATTTGCTTTGGTCTTCCAGTATCAAGTCTAACTTATGTTTTCTGTGTCGGCTCGTCACCGAAAGTGTTCGTTCGTAAGACGCAAACTAATTCTTGATTTGACGTGCCTTGGGCTGCATTTGCTCATAGCGAAATATACTGCCAAATACCGAAGACATAAACAAATCGTGTTTTGTAACATCTGGTAAATATTTGCATTTATCATACAGCGTGTCACGATATTACAAAAATGTGAACGTGTCGTGCAGAACACATCGGCGGGCGTCTCCTGTTTAATCCCTGATTTCGTTATGTATCTTGTGCTGCTAGCCACTGGATTAGTCCAGTCTGTACAGAATACAGCCAAATCTCAGAATGTTCATCAATTTACAGATGTGACATAAATAATCACGTAATAAATTACAGTGATTATGACTTTATTTAACTCCTATATTTATAGCTTAACTCATCTTTTACACAGATGAAATATACAATGATCCCATCCGAAATACATTTATCCCAAAATCCTTACTAATCATATAAGTAATGTTGCATGCCATAAAATACATTAATATGTAATCTAAATTCTGTAACGGGGATATAAGTAAAATCCTTGATACATTTATCCCGTGTGTGAAAAAGAATTACAAACTTAAGAATTACTACAAATACCGAATTAAAATTTTATAAATTTATTTTGATTTCCTGATGTGCCATCTGCTGTGAAAATATGGCACTCGTCAGAACTAACATGAAACAACCAGTTCTTAAGTCACTACCAGGAATCAGAAAGGTTTAATAGGCTCGAACGTCTATGAGAAGGGGAACTATCATTCAATTCTAAAGGCTTTAGACGACGATAGTTTACACTTAAAATTATTCATTGTGAGGACTTTTTCCATCGTCTGTTCTTTAAAACCCACGACGTTTCGGAGGCTGGTTCTGTCTCCGTCATCAGGTGAGAGATACCTACTCTGTTGGGTCCCTTAGATAGAGCTGGTCTCTGTCACTGGACGTCGTGGGTTTTAAAGAACAGACGATGGAAAACGCCCTCACAATGAATAATTTTAAGGAATCATCATCTCTGACATTACAATCTGTGCCCAGGTACAAAGCCATCATGCACCCGTTCGAGCGAAGGTTTACGAAGCTACGCACGAAGTTGATCTTGGCCGCCATCTGGGTCGCTGCAGTCGCCGTGTCCGGCGTCCAGTTGCGAGTCGCTCGTTCCGAGCGCTTCAAGTACGCGGGAGAGTAAGTGGAATTGGGGATGCATACGGTTCCAGGCGTCGACGTCGGAACTCAGCTATTTCCGCCATGTTATTCTACCTTACAATTCTACCATTCAGCCTCGTTCCTTTGAAAACTGCTACACGGTTAATAAGCGGATATCCAAAGACTGTTGTGCCTTGGGCCATGTTCACTATACAATTTGTAACCCCCCCCCCTCCCGGGTTTTGGATCCAATTAGCCTGAAATATAATGGGTATCAGAGAGAATGGGTAATGCGAGGTATAGACTGCGTAGAGCTTTGCCCCAGCTTCAAAATGCCTTTGGTATTGTGTTTTCGTTTCAAAAATCCTTGCTGTCAGTGGCGCGCAAAGGAATCATTGCTTCCGTAAATTCTTTAATCTTCGTAAAAGTTCGTTCGACCCGAAGTATCCACAGGAAGCAATTCTGACTCTGTTGTCCGCTCTCCTTTGGCTGTAGTGCAGAAGCGAAAGGATGTGTTATTTCAAAGGTGATGTGAAAATTAACTGTTTATGTGCGATTTCAGTTCTTGTCGGGTGATATAAGTAACATTAAGTTTTATTAATACATTCTACTGCATATTTAGATGGTGCTGGATTGCATTTGTGATCGTATTTTGAAGAATGTTAAACTCCAGAAAGTAAATGATCCGCTTACAAGGGAAGCATTTCTAATCTCGTGGTACAAGTGGCAGGGGAGTGATTAGACTCTAATCACATCAGGGCGATGACCTGTCTATCTTTGTTATTGGAAAATTTATAATTTAAATGTTGCTTAGTCGGGTTTAAATATGAATTAAATAATTGTCTGACTACAAATTTAAACTCACATGTTTTTACAAATTACATGGATAGAATTCTTTTCAAAAACAAATAACAGTTGCTCTGCTGGTAAATATATTCTCCTCGTCTTTTATGAAAGCCAAGCGCCGCGCTCACTAGTCTAGTTCACACACAAGTATCCCATTCCTTTAAAACACGTTTTAATATTTTCGTCAAATCTACGCCTAAGTCACGAAAATTGTTTTCTCCATCGAGATGTTCCGTACAAAATTTTTGTATGCATTTCTAATATCTCCTATGCCTGCTCTATGCCCTACCCTCAGGGCCGTATTCTGTAAAAGAAAAATCTGGCAGTTTCCTCAATCCATTACACGTCAAATTAGTCGATTACAAAGACACGGGAAAATAATTTTTGTTTTTCCAAAATTCCATCGACTGTACACTAAATACACTAGTACAGGGGACACATTATCTTAACATATTTTACGAAAACAAAATACAACCACAGTCACCTGAGGACTGGAGTAGAGCCAACTTCTGACAATGAAATATACCTCAGACAAACGGAACATTGTTTGTATCTTTCTTAATCAAGTACAAATGATAATGGTATGTGTGCAAGGTGGCACTGGGACTGCGGAGAACAGTGGGGCTCCAGAGAAGACGGCCAGTCCTACACGATGGTTATTTTCTCGGTCACCTTCGTCCTGCCTCTACTCAGCCTGGCTTTTACCTATACGTGCGTCGGACGACGTCTCTGGCTTAGGGCGTCTCCCGGGAACGCCGACCCAATGCGGGATTTGGCACAGCTCAGAGCGAAAAGAAAGGTAAATTAAAATACCCTTGTTTTAACTTTAAATATTTAGGTTCTGTTAACAAGAGAATGTTTTTTAAGCAACTAAGTATTCCTAAGTCTTATACTTCTTTAATTTGAAATTTGCTTTCAAACTGTAATTTATCTGTCGTCTATATAAACAAACACAAGGAACAGAAATGTTGTTTCGCGTCTCATCTTCGCAACTGGCATCTTATTACCCTTCAATATCGATCTGGAATTCCAATACGAATGGATTCAATGCACTAATTTAAGACTTAAACACACTGAGGAAATTGAGTAGTTGTGATACGTTAAGATGTTGTTTTGGATTATTACAAGATTAAAACATGCAACTTCATAACTTTCTTAAATAAAAAATTACTTTACGTGAACGAGACCTTCTAGACACTGAAAATGAGGATTTGAACGAAGCGATCGAAGACCTCCGACGAAACAGCTGATATATACAGACTGGACTTGACGTCATATCCACTACACGATGAAAATGTGTTGCTAGTACGAGATATTCGTATTGAAACTGTGAACATAAACGCTTATCATTCATCGCTATGCACAATGCAGTTGATAAAGCTTCGTTAAATATTATTACGATCACTGGTCAACGCGTCGACCATCTCCGGTCTTCAGCCATGTCAGATGATTAAAACGTTTCGAGGACCACCTCTACCTTCATTTTCAGGGCGACTCCTGAGGAGCAAATATTATACGTCAACCATCCTTCTTGAGGCGTCTAAATATTTTTGGGAATGTCAGTGTTAATCTTGGTTTTCAGATGCCTCTTAACTCACAAGCAAGGTCTAATGGATCTATTTTTCTTTACAGATTATCAAAATGTTGGTCACGATTGTGGTGCTGTTTGCTTTGTGCTGGCTTCCGCTGCAGACTTTCTTACTTCTGTACTATTTTGTTCCTGGGTTTGACTCCTATCAGACAGACGACGAACGCAAAGTTTACGCACTTTCTTACTTCGCGTGTCACTGGCTTGCCAACGCCAACAGCATGGTCAATCCGTTCGTGTATTGCTTCATGAGTGACAATTTCAGGGTAAGTGGTCTACGTCAGTGGTATTCAACCTGGGGTACGCGAAGACATCTTAGGGGGCACGTGAAATTTAAAAAAAAAAATATTATTTTATGATAAACACTGAATAATCAGTAATGTAATTTATTTAATTTATTTTAGATGTAGATTATATACTATGTATAACTTGAATTATACACCAACAACTTTGAGGGTAAGTGAAATTTAAAAAAAATATATTATTTTACGATAAACACTGAACAATCAGTAATGTAATTTATTTAATTTATTTTAGATGTAGATTATATACTATGTATAACTTGAATTATACACCAACCATTTTGGGGGCACAAAATTGAAGAGAAAGTATATCTGGGGGTACGCGAACAAAAAAGGTTGAATACCACTGATCTACATCAACCATATAACACGAAGCAGGGGTACAGACACCAGGGTAGCTGTTCATTCCCCCCTTCAAAATCCTTCTGATAACAAACATGAAGTTACAAATATTCTATTCCCTAAGGGTGTTTGAAATATAATAATTTATGCTCTCTACAAAACTTTTTTTATTATTATTGTTATATTCTTACTGCATATAGAGTAAACAAACCAACAACTATTAACACTATAATAGACACTATTGTCATAAGCGTTTCGACCTCAGGAGGTCATCATCAGTGGCATCATGGAAAGTGGACAGTATTAATTTTTGTTTGAACCATTTCACTAAATGTAATAATTTCCCTGATGCCACTGAAGATGACCTCTTGAGGTCGAAACGCTTATGACAATAGTGTCTATTATAGTGTTAATAGTTGTTGGTTTGTTTACTCTATATTCTAATTAACTGCTATTGTTTAACTAAATAGGTTTATGATAGAATTCTCTTACAGTGGAGTCCGTCACGTGACACCGACGTTTGGATTCAACGCGTCGGTTAGTAATTTTCATAACGCGATGTGTGAGTCACCATAGGATCTTTTAAAATATAAATTATGGACCCGAAGAGGATCTGACAGGGGTGAAACATGTAGTGAAAATATATCTGCGTTAATAAAAGTTTGTGTAGACGGCATATTAATTATCTTTACTATCCTAGTACGCCAGGATTTAATCCTTGAAAATAATGTTGAAAAAAAATTTGTCACCCAATGAAAAGATTAATCTTGACTCTGGTGTCGAGTATCGAATTAAACTTTAGTATTTTTCCCTATTGTACTTTATATAACAGAAATTCGAAATGCAGATACATCAAATATCGTTACAGCGAGATTTCTGTTGACAGGCGAAAATTTTAATTTTACAATAGCTGGACCCGTTGGATGGTTTGAAAAAAAAATGTATGAAAAGAAAGTCCATATAAATGACTGATTTCATTCACATCAATTTTTAAAGTAACAAAATAGCGGATCACTGAAAATAACACAAATGGAGTACAAACAATGCAGGAGTGGTGCTCAGTGAACAATTAGCAGATGGAGATTTTGTCGGCGCTACGTAAAAAGGGCGCAAGTCAATCGTAATTTGTACTTAAAAAATCCCTTCATGTCGAAAATTAAAAAAAATTAATCAGAAGCAAACTTTCATATTAACTGTATTCGAATAAAGCATCTGCCTTCAAAAAAAATCATAAAATAGATATGTACGCCTGCAGAAGTTGATATTAACTGTACAGTTTATAATTTAAACTTTAATTATGCATTATAATTAGAAGTTACGTTAGCATTTCTATTAACACAGCCGCGTCTGACCGTCTGTCTGTAACAACCCGAGATCCGCTGAACGAAATTTCATGGCAACTGATATCGGAGAGCATTATCGAATTATCGAAATTTCAACATATTCCACTTTTGCTGTATATGAACACCAGCGTGGTTTTCTGCACGCGGAAGTGACTTCGTTACCTCGGTTACAGTGATTATTCAAGGATTCCCCACAATGGGGAATCCCCATGATTCCGACCACGTGTGAAAATACTCCGTCAGATACCCGGGGCATTGAAATGCCACTGACGCACATGTTAAATTCTGACAAACACACCAAGTTTGTTTGGTACCGTACGAAACATCAGCCCAATACTCATTTACAAATACACATACTAGTTTATTTCAGTCTTTTAATGACGTTCAGTAACAATTAAAGTGTGCATTTCAGAGCGGCAATCAGCATTTGTTTAAGGTCAGGTTCATTAGAACCTGTAACTCGACGCTCAGTTCATTATTGAACCCCCCCCCCCTCTTCAAATTGTCCAAACTTCAATGCGCACATTTCAATTAATTAAAATCACACAACGTTGTTACAGCGACTGCATTTCCATTGTGTAATTAAATTCAGTCCCGAACTGAATAAGTATTGTACACTGACCAACTAAAATATTTAATAAGACACCTGTTGAATATGACAATACCGTTACATATGGATATAATTATCTTCTACAATCTCAAGAAGGGCTCAGCTCTATGGAATTGGTTAGTTCGCGTGCGTTAGAACAAACGCTATCATAAATCAGTCGATTAGACAAATGTTTTCTCTTCGCGAATTCCGAGCTCCACGTGCGGTCCAGTTGCATTTGTGACGAGTAACATTTTCGAAATCACCGTCTTCAATCGACTTATCTACATATAAGCCCAGCAGATCGTGTGTCCAACAACATCGTATTTCTTTGATAGGTCAATACAGATTTAAATTTGAAGACGTCATACATTTCTAGTACACTTCCATAGTCCGCAATTGTCTTCATTTTGCGATGGCCGACCTTAAATCCAAGGCGTCCTGGCGAATTATTATTTTAAGATTCATTCAGAAGTCGAAAGTGGCCACAGGACACAATCCGTGGAAGCTGATGAAGGGGACAGGTTTTAACGTTCGTAAAAGAAAAGGTTAAATGACGGAGGTAGAACATGGAATTGTCAGAGGACGAGGCATGACGAAACAGCTACATCCTAGGTATCTCCCGACCCAACTATTAATAACAAAGAATTCTGACAGATAAAATAAATCCCTCATCGCAGACCATGTTTACTCAAGTACTCCGATAAGTTCAGAGACATCGTCCTGCTTTCCTCTGGTCAAACTTCTTCCCTACTTTGTTTGGTCATCTACTTTCCCCTGACCTCTGCAAGCGTAAGCCTCTTATAGTCGATAGTTTCGACAATCGATATTTTCCCTCCCATTCTCGTCCTCCATTCATCACTCATAACCCTCCTAAGCCCTCGACATCTCAGAAGCTCTTCGCCACTAGCCCACGTCTGAAGACCTAAACCTCTTTACAAATATTTACAAATATTTTTATGACGAGTCTTATACAGGTCTTCGTCTTCAATTTTATTCTCACGAAACTTGGATAATGACTTTGAAAATTCAATCAACCGGATGAAAGAAAAATTAACTGATTATTTCTTGATAAAATGCACATCAAATTTCCTGTCATGTTTTACTACTGGCTGTGATAACTCTGAGTTCTTATGCGCCTTGAACGTGTTCTCTCTGCGATGATACTAAGTTAACGTCATGACGTCATATTCGAGGGACTCTCGGCGACGAGTATTGAGGTGGCTGTCTTCGGAGATGTATCAGCAGACTGACATTTCAGAGAATCTTAGTGCGTCCATCGCGAGGGTAATAAATCACCACAAACCTTACCCAGCTTAACATTTGCTTTGATTACTCGAGGTCTGACCGGACGTGTGTCTTTCTGATCCCATATCCTCACTTTGTTCGATGACACAGGCTGACCTGAAGGACCTGCTGACTGCGAGGGCGAGAAAAACCAGAGACAGTGTAAGAAGCGGTTCCACCAGGACTACAGTAAGCCAGTTCCAGCGATGCGGTTCAGGTGACACGCCATCTTTGTACTGTCTCAGATTAATTTTGCCAGACTGTAATTGTATATACTTTCCACCTGTTCATATTTCATATTCTCATGACAAAATTTTTTGCTTTTTATTAGAATTCTAATTGAAAACCGAAATATTACATCCATCGACAGAGTTTTAAGTCAATAGCATTCCTGGCTCTTGAATGAGATAAGAATCAGGATTCTTAATCGAAACTCATAAAATAAATGAGATTGTAGTTAACTAATAGAAAATTAACAAATAATTTCTCGGATCTCGTTACTAAGTGTCTCGGGATGAGTGATGCCCGCGGGCCGTCAGTTGCACAACGATGACATAGTTTAATGACAACTTATTTATGCAATTAATTATTCGGTTTTGTTCGTCTAATCACAATTATATTTAAAATTTAAAATTTAAAATTTAAAATTTAAAATTTAAAATTTAAAATTTAAAATTTAAAATTTAAAATTTAAAATTTAAAATTTAAAATTTAAAATTTAAAATTTAAAATTTAAAATTTAAAATTTAAAATTTAAAATTTAAAATTTAAAATTTAAAATTTAAAATTTAAAATTTAAAATTTAAAATTTAAAATTTAAAATTTAAAATTTAAAATTTAAAATTTAAAATTTAAAATTTAAAATTTAAAATTTAAAATTTAAAATTTAAAATTTAAAATTTAAAATTTAAAATTTAAAATTTAAAATTTAAAATTTAAAATTTAAAATTTAAAATTTAAAATTTAAAATTTAAAATTTAAAATTTAAAATTTAAAATTTTAAATATAACAAAACCGAATAATTAATTTAATATTTGATTCACAATATGACGCAATTATACTATCTTATTTATGCAAGTTTTATAGACCGTGGTTGTACATTTTGATGGATCAATTTAGGTGTTTCAGTTGCCTGGAAACTGCAGTAAAAATTTAAGGACAAGTCGCGTAAAGCCCAGTTCGGTCCAACTCATGTCTGCGACGTTTATCCTTTCCAGGGTCGATGGCATCAAGAAACTGGACCACAGGAGCCGGAAATGTTGTCTTGAAGGATTACAGACAAACTTGCTCATTCGACTGCCAGCAAGATTACACATCTCAGCTGTGATTTCACGGCTTTATAAATTAATAAATCTTCGCCGAAATCAAATTCACGTTTTAAATAGTTTCAGGGTTCAGTTCACTCGAAAACCAGCCTACAAATTCCTTCAATTCGGCAGGATATTAAAATATTCACCACCGACAACAACAATTTTAATTTCATTGTGAATTACAGCCTTTTTAATCACTGAAGTTTATGTTCGATCGCTGAGCTCTGTAGTGCCTGGCAGGCAGGTACTTTTAAGGTGTATATATATATCTGAATAGAAGAAAAGTAACAACTGTTACTTAACCATTTTGCAAATGTAATTCAGTGTATGACCTGCCACCTGCAAATAAATAATTACTTTAAAATATTAACAAAGAGGCATGGATTTATTTAATTGTCATTATTTTCGTGAATAGAGTAAAACATGCTTGTTAAAATGCATGACATTTTCTAGCAATACCTTTTAGTTCTTAATTTCTACGTTGATTTCACTTAGTAAGTTTGTAAGACAATTTATATAGTACTCGGAGAAACTCTACAGTATTTATTTCATATCCTATGGAATGTCCCAAAAGACACGCAACACAAAGGTTCATATCGTTTGTCTTATATATATTATAGTATAATTATATGATTATAAAGAACTGTATGCACAAAGTGTTCCCCGCTCGATTTTAAATCATCACGAAAACCGTTTCACCATATTCATAGAAATTCTGGTAAGATTCACAAGTCTTAAAATGGTTGACACAGCATCATCAGGAAATTGCATCCAATATACGTCTGTTTATCTGCTTCGTATGACTGCATTTGATAATAATGTTTCTACGCAATTAATCCGAAGAAAATGTCTCAAACCACTGATTTCTTCTAGTGAAAGTTACATACTGTTACTACTGTATGAGGTAAATTGAAATTTCCCTGTCAAACTACTAAATATCTAATTTAAACTTCGACACTTTTGGGGCACTCCGTCTTAGAAATTTTACTCTTATGTTGTAAATCTGAACTCGAAGGTGGGGAGAAACAGGTCCCAGACACACATATAATAATACCCTAATTCTTGTATCTGCATCTCACACCTCCATATATGGTTTACGATTACCTTCCTAACTCCTCCCCACGTAGCCAGCGGTGCAGAATCCATTTTTTTAGAAGGGAGCATGCAAATGGATTCTGTTGTCCCCAATGATAGGGTGAGGATGAGAATGATAAACAGCAAAGTGGACTTTAACTCCGAACCACGATTACAACATGACTTTGATTACATTCAAAATTATTACTGTAATTAACAGTGAAATATTATAGACGACAATAGTTTTAATTTTAAAATGTCAATATATCTGGCCTCTTCATTGTATGTATCATTATTTTCCCCACTCCTTGATGAAACCACAAAATAAAAATAAATGAAGCAGCTGGAACCACACGTGGACTGCGTTGTAATAAATTTCGTCTATTTTATCCAATTTAATCAAAGTCTGACTCTGATAACAGAAACACCAGAGGCAGCCATGAACGAGAGTCTAATGCATACAGCGATTCTTTTCAATAGAACTTTAACACGGAGAGTGTTATGGAGCAATGCAGCCAGAGATAAAAGTACTTCAGATATACACTACATCAGAATTTCATGATAAACAATTTCAATTTTTTTTTTCATTGATAAAATACTATTTCTTATCTTAACACGAATATATGTCAACCCAGTTCATACGCCGTCAATTCTATTTCATACATTTCAATAAGGATTAAAAGTCTTATCGCTGTCTTTGTTAACATGGTTGCGAATATTGGCAATAACATACAAATTTCAGGTCCGAATTACTAATTACTTTATTTTCTTATAATCTCTGCTTCGCTTGTCGAAATATTATTAAACTTCATTTCAAAAGAAAATTACTTTAATAAGAGTCTCATCCTTATAAGCAACCACCAGCGTACGATGCTTAAAGACTAATGCAAGAGTGGAGTTATGTAAAATCCCCTAACATAATTAAGAATTTGATGAGTTGTGGTGATTATTTAGAGAGAAACTGAGTAAAACCACATATCACGCCGAGGTAGTCAGCTAGGCGTAACTCGGACCCCTGGACCCTACGAAATGTAAATAAAGATCATAGCCGGTGTGTGCAGTCAGCAGTGTTTTTTTTTAAAGTATTGTATACGCACTTAAAATGTTTCGAACGAGAAAGTGTATTTTCCAGAAACATTTCCACAATCGTGACGAAAAATGCAGATTTATGAGAGTCAAAATCTCCCTTTCACAGAAGCGGAAAGTAAAACAATGTGAAAGTTTTACGTAATTTAAAAATTGCCTTTTCATGTGTATGCACCGTATTTCCGAGAATTTACGTACTCAACTAAAAAAAAAAAACTTAATTTATTTTTAATTTTACGGTGAAATTCCTATAAAATATCTGCAATAGTATTCGGCGTGGACTATATTTAAAACGAGTAATCTAACTGGACTTTGCTAATAGGCTGTCTATCAATAGCCCGTGATATACATTCTGTTGTGGTAATGACTTGATGTTGTAATGGATTTCAGAAGAAACAGGCGTGAAGCTTGAAGTCAGAATGAAATTGATCCAAATGAATAACGTGCTACCAATACCAAGGAGTTACAATGTCGAGAGAAAAAAATGAGTAGTTACTGTGTTACTATGATTGGCTGTACGTATAGAAAATGTCAAAAAAACTGCAGAGTTCAGTCTACTTAGAAGAAAACACAACACTTAAGTTCGCTTGATTTAAGATGAGTTAGCCTAAGTACAGACGCAAATTATGTGACTGATAAAATTGTCATATTTGAAGCTGCGGCTTCTAGACAAAGTCAATTCATCCAAAGACTGATAAGTTTTTCTTTCTTGGATTACCCAGTAAAACGTTTTGCTCGAATAATAGAATAATAAGCTTATTGCAAATTATGAATAAAAGTCGAAAATTACATCTGAAAATCAATTCCTGCAAGCTAATAACAGAGACAGTGTTAAAAATAAAACCGATACAAATCCGAAACATTTTTCCTGTCCTGTGGCGATCTGCTTCGACAGGTTTCTGAGTGTAAGTTTACGTGTTGCACCTAAATGCTTTGTAAGACGAACAGCCTTACGAGGATGAGGTAGCAGGTCCATAAAAGACGTCGTAAAGCGTTCTGTCTGTCAGACGACGGCAGTGAGAAAAGCAAAATGTCGTAAAATTTAGTCTCATCAAGTACCATGCATTCTGTAGAGTAAGTGATCTTCTAAGAGACTCGTAAAAGATGGAAACAATGATTAAAATATGAGGATTTAAGCTGAGCAGTAAACATCATACGAACCACTGTACTCAAGTAGACCGCCATGTTTATTTAGTCTGCCGAATAATTAGTAATGATTAGCTTTCAGAGTCTTCTTCGTTCTACAGTGGAGTATAGTTCAGTATAACAGAGTAAGTTCTGTTCCAAATATTTTGGTTAACCCCTACTATGACACATTTCGCAGTTCTGTCATTGTTTTTCAACAGTTTTATTCACATTTAATTATACGAACTGTAATATATATGTATAGTCATACCTCGAAATTCTTAGATTTTATCATGTTTTGACTGTTTCTACTGTAATTACGGTATAATAAAAAGATTACAGACGTTCAAATCACTGGAATAAAGTTTATAAGGAGTGCCGGAGGACAAAATCATCAGTAAGTACCGTCTTCAGGTTAGTAACGCCACGTGGACGTGTCTCCATTTTCAGGGCTTCATCTTCAGGTTAGTAAAGCCATGTGGACGTGTCTCCATTTTCAGGGCTTCAGCTGAACCCTTGAAGACGGAGGCAGTATGTTCCTCCGAAACGTCGGTGTCTACCTAAACGTCGAGTTACTGGGTGCTTTGTAGTAATTTTATACATATTTAAAGTCTCTGGTTATCATCTTTATGACTCTCTTAAAATTTATAGCGAAACATAACCTTTTCTTAATCTGAAGTTTGGTTTTATGTATTCACTTAAAAGGAGTGGCGGATGATTGGTCCCATTGGACACGCTTTCTGAACTGAACGTTTCGCTTTTTAAGGAAATTCTGGTTTTAGAAAGCACAAGATTTAACGAAACAGCAAGCTTACAAAAAAAAAATTATTTGGAGCAAATATTTGTCAAACAACAATAAATTACTTTTTAGAGACAGATTATGCCGGTTAGCTCAGGTACGTGAAAGAATGTCCAGTTTCTTGTAACCACATAATAACTTACGCTTTCCAAAATTCAATGATTTAACAAACGGACACCCTTTCACTTTATAATTGCTTGCCAATGGATGCAGGACTAACGTTTACGTACTACTGGAGAACCAATGACCCGCGGTGGACGAGGCTGGCTGCCAGTTGGCGCAGAGTGAAACGTTTAGCTGAAATAATAAAATTCCTTACCACAGAGACTGTAATATTATTATGTCAAGGATCATGAGACCCGGAAAGAATTCTTACAGCATCTTCGCGTGTTACGTGGGGGCATAACGTGCATAGGATAAACGCATGAAATGAACGTCCGTTCCGTCCGTCTGCGCATCTGAAACTAGCGCGACCGATGGGGAAGACGGAGACAGAGTTTTGGACTCTTCTACGCATGCACAGTCACGTGACTTCGTGAGCCAATCAGTTTCAGAGAGCTGGTGTTTTAAAGTATTCACTTAGTCTATGCCTGAAAAACCTGCCATTGTTTCTGAATCTCAATTCTGTCGATGGAAACACGCGAAATGTTGTCCTTTTTTAACATTTTAGATGTTCTGGTGTCATGAAGATTTCGATTTACAGGGATTCGATAGGGGGCCGAATCTTCTTGTGTCACCATCTTGGGTTCATCGTTCACTAATCTTTCCACTCCTGCCATTTATTTTTCGTAGCGACTTCCCGTCTTACTTCAGATCACGCCAGTTCTATAGCATCGCAGTGAAAACAACACGGATGGAGTCAATAACCTCGCGGTTCCGCTTCGATACGCATTTGATCCAGCTCATACATTTCTGTGTCGCGTTCGAAGGAAAGCGCCCGTTTCGATACTTTTCCAACCAACTAAAGTCTCGTCTCTAGCGGAAGTGTTTGGCACAGTTTGACGTAAAATGTCCTATTATTATTATTTTTTTTTTTTTAGTGTTCTGTCTGACGACAGGTCCATGTGAACAGGATCCTTCCATCCTTTTCTCGGACTGGGACATGTTCATATACGTTCTTGGCAGATGATCCAGAAGTGGTTTGCCATTGCCTTCTTCTGTGTGTGAATGGAGTAATTGTTGGGATGCCACGGAGGAAAACTCCGTGTTGCCTAGACCACGGCCTTGCCCAACACAAGTTATAAATTCGGGCACCGTCGGGAATCGAACCCGAGACCCGAGGATTACAAGGCCAGCGTTCTAACCGCCAGGCCACCGTGGCGGTGTAACTGAACGGTAGCTTGCATTATTCACGATTTTTATATCTACCCAACCTATGGTACGCGAGCTAATGTTGAGTGGTACGCGAACTAAGTAAGAATATCAAAAGATAATATTAAAATAAATAAGTTTTTCCCTGAACGCATTTGGTTAGTGGTACATTTAATGTGTAAGATTATCCATCATCAGGGACCAGCGAGAAAGGTTAAGAACCCCTGATCTACCATATTGTAAACAGTTCATAAATCTGCCTAAAAAACAGTCTTTAAATGTGTGAGCCGTCATTTCTTAAGGATAATAATTTCGTCGATTTCGATCTAAACACCCAGTCGCTCTCTGATGTGCAAACCTGTAAGCGTGAAACCCGCATGGCAAGCGATACGCAGGCTTCCGTTAAGTCTTGTCAGATTTATCTCAATGTGCGATCTTCAGAACAGAAGAACACGTAATCATACAAGAAATGATCAATTTTAAATTACACTAAAGACTGGTCCATCAGATCGTATATAGGTTACTTTACAGGGATCTGAAATACAACTTTGTTTATTACCTTAAAAGAGTCTCATCGCACGAAAACTAATACATAGCATTTTCCGTAATATACATCTTATTAAAAACTTTAATTCAAATACAGCCGTGTTTCTTTTGTTTCTGTAAATTCTTAAAAAAATAAAAGATTTGTCCCTCTCACTGAGCAGTGTGTTGCGAGGTTAGCTTCGGAGCAATGGATTTTTTGGGGGGGCCTGTTTTCGATAAATAAACATCAAAGTCACTGACGTATCCAAAAGTTCAAAGAACGCTTTGTAAAATACATTGCAGTGAATTGATGTGTAAAATCATCCTCTTCCTAGTGTGCAGATTTTCAATTTAAGATTCGATTTCATTTTACAATATGTGCCTATAGGAAACTCGCAAAACACATTGAAAAATACTGCGTGTGTGTGTTAAGAGAGATCTATACAGTGCTTTTGCGTTTAAAAAGATGGCGGTATTCCGAAGTGATGTCCACCAATTTTAACCAAGACAAAATCTTTACGCAACTACCAAAATAAAATACTAATAACAGGCCTTCACCAGAACGCTATTAACAATAATAATGATTAATAATATGATAATATTAATACTACAATTAATATTAGTACATTTTTAATAATGTTAACATAAATTTAATGCAACAAAGAATTTTTAAAAATACATTCCACTGTTGCGTACAGCCAGTAAAATGTAAATATTTTAAGTACGTGTTTTCTGTTGCCAGGAAGATCAGAGTTTTATTAAACAGGACCAGTGTAGCAGCTGGACGCCCCTGAAAACTTAATATTTTACAAATAAGTGTTCGTCGTTTCCGATAAATATGCCTAATGTCGTCCAGTGCAAAAATAGTGCGCCTTTTAAGAAAATATTTAGCAGATGTTACTATCGGATGGCCTCACGATCAGTCAATATGGTCAGTGACCCTATGGTACCACCACAGTATGAACCTGTTCAAGCTTAACAACATTGCTATTACGCAACTCTAGAACTGCAAAACGTTCTATTTACCTGGTCACTGAAACGTGGGGCTATTTCTTATGTCATACATTTGTCACGCACGACGCCGGTAATACGAGCTTTGGACTGCATTTGACACACCCCCGTCCTCGGCATTTAATGTGACAACTTTGAAACGTATATTTTACGTCATTAGGGTCCTATAATCCCTTCTTTGAAACCCCATTAGGGAGCTACGTCTATCCGTCCCTTCCCAGATTAAATTACAAACATCAACATTGCAGACACTAATTGACATTTTTTGTGATACGTTGGTCCTTTGTAATCGTCAGTACTCGTATGACTATCACGAGCTTTGTCAGGTACAAGCAAGAGACGTACAATTTGTCGTATGACGATAGATCGCTGAAAAAATTAAGTTAAGTACACGGTGATAAACGACGTTTCGGAGGTCCTTGCTGCCTCCATCATCAGGGCGATGCCAAAGAACTCTGAAAACTACATTAACACTAATTTAAACTTCTCACTTACCAGAACTTTCCAGAACAAGTAGACGGCATGTTAAAGATGGCGTTAGTACTGATTGTAAAACGCAACCACAAATTTATTTACGTAGTAATTTTCACTAAAAGCACTTTTAAACGTAATATAACCATTAAGAGGTCATGCACACTTTAGATTTAAAAGTAAATCTACATATCGTTGAATGGAACACCACTTGTCGCTCAGATCCACGCTACTACTATCATGGATACGGAAGTAACATTGAGGGATGTGACGTCATACTGTCGAACAAACGATTATCGATCAACAGTACTATCGATAAATGTGATTCATGACGCATTTCCGGTCTCTGCACGTGTACTAAACTCGAAGCCGAGCGCTGTGTAGATGGCAGTGCAGTAAGTGACTGGTTAAGAGTTGGTTAGATTCCAAGGTCGTCCGGACCAGCTCTAGAGACCAAGTTTCCTATACAACACACGCCCATAAAAGGATTCAGTTCACGGAATGTGTTAAATTACAGGTTTCGTAGACTTTGGCGTAAATGGGATTACAAAAATATAGCTAAATGGTCGAACTAGACACTCGGTTATGTTACAGTTGTCTGTAAGGGGAGGGTTCTTGAAGTTTGGAACCCATTGTATTAATATTAATTCGTATACCTAGTAACCTGAACAGTGTTAAGTCACGGCTGGATACGAAGCTGTAAGGATAGAGACTGTTTTGAATTCCTTTTTGGGCAGTAAAGATCGTGAAATTAAAAATTGTAAACGTCCCTCAATGCATATTATATAGATTAACAGTGTTCTGAAAGTAAATTTAAAAATTGAATAACTATTTATTTAACTTTAGGATTTGAGATTCTGGGTATTTGTGCTGTGTAGTCAGCGTTTCGGAGGTCCTTGCTGCTTCCATCATCAGGGCGATGTCATCGCAGCAAGGTCCTCTGAAACGTTGGTAAACTTCTATGTTACTTCACGTATTTTCAAATTATTTGATATCGTTACATTATATGTATAGTGTCTCATGAAACAAGTTGAAGTTGATTTGTGTCTGCGATTCATTCATAGTTCATATAACTATTTGACCACACATAATCCCACCTACCAAAATTGCCCTGAGTTAACCAAGGTCAGAAAGAGGTTCTACAACGAGGAGTGTGGACAGCAGGAGAAAGAATAGAAATGGCGAGCCATCGTGGAGGCAGTATATTAACTGTAGGCATGACATATAAACTGCAAGGTTCGACGTTCTCATGTGGCGAATATGAAGATGGCGCCGTGTACAGTAAGGACCAGAGCACTAGCGAGTTCTTGGCGCGGGGGTGAGGAGAAAGGTGATAAACACTGCGCGCGCACCTCCATGTTCTACCCGGCCGTTCCGTGCACTGACCAGGCCGTGCCGATTGCAACTATCCAAAGCGCTAGGCAATTCAGCTAGTAAGTAATCTGGTCCCTATTGTATTCTTGATGTCTGCCGAACTACACAGCGAATAAGTTGTTCTCTCGGTTGATCGTGCAAGCAATTTCCCATTTTCCTTCTCCAAAGATCTATGTCATCTGGATCAGGAACAATTTTCTTTTGAAAGTAAGGACTTCGTGTCATAAAAATATGAAACATCCCACATTACAGGATATTTGAACAAATTTTATTAACAGATCTTGAAATAGCAACAACATTTAACAAAGCCTGCACTTCACTTGGTATAATAGAAAATATATTGTGAGGCAAAGTACCTTTTCCTTAGCATGATTAAAACCGTTATAACATGGTTAATGACTTATCATTATCATTCGAACAAAGTAGAAATCGTCAGTGTAAAGGAGCCGAGTATTAACGTCATGATATCTCCTGGTGTTTTAAACGTCGGTGCGAGTGTTATGAATGATACATTACCACTAATGAAACAGAATAATCTCTGTTTAGTTCTGCACCAACTACAAAGTGAGTAACACAATTAAGCTTACTTTAGAAGGTCCATAACCTTTATGCCATGGACAGGGTATAATGATTTCTGTGAGGAAGATTTGAATAAATGTGATGAACTTCCGACCCAGAATAAAACGAATATTATTCCGACACTGGAGCACATTTGTGTAAAAGGCGAATTAGAAAGGCTTTTATTTCCTTTGGATTTATGTTCCCACTGAGTGATTAACAGAACTAGGTTAAGTGGAAAGTCCAGGTACGAATTGTACGTAAAGAACCTCGTCGTAGAAAGTTTCAGAAAAAAAAGACGTAATTCTTAAATTAGAGGTTAGTGTACAATGATCAGTTTATTAAGAAGAAAACTGCTATAAATGTTGACAAGTCATTGATTACGTCAACGTTAAATCAAGCAAGAAAGTAATGCTATGTGTTGTCCAAAATACAGCGTATTTTCAGTAGTAAATCAACAGCACAGCTGTTTATTGTAAAACAGCGAAATCAATATATAGCTCAATTTACATTAATGGGCGTAGTAGATAAGCAGAAACTCTGTACATTTACTTAGACGTTCTATAAAATGCCTGTCCATTTTGGGCATAATATGAAATATAAAGATCTTATACTATCATATATTTTACTCAGACATAATGATTTCTGGGCATTCTATAGAATGCGAAAAGTGGGCCAAGCTTCGACTTCATAATGTGCAGTACAAAAGCCTCAGAAATTAACGACGTCATTTTAGTACCAGAACAAACAGTTTATATATTCCATGACACGAAGCATATCTAAATATGCGACCTAATGAAATTATGATCAAAGTAGAATTACACGTGGTGATTAACAATACAAGTTAATTAGAGACTCCTCTAAATTCTTAATGGAATAATTTTAAAACGTCGGTGATACTACTCGCGTGGTCACTGGGATCTGGGTTCGAATACCGCTCAAGGTATGGGTGTTTGTCGGCGTCTTTATGTGTTGTGTGTAGTCCTGTATAGGTAAAGGCCTTGCGAGGGGCTGATTACTCGTCCAACAGTCCTACCAGATGTCTAAATAGCTTAAGAAACATTTCTTACATGAGGCGACCAAGGTCCTTTAATATACATAAATATTTAGTGGATTTGTTGCTTGGTTTCGTATAAAATACGTGGCAGAGTATAGAAAAGATTATTTCATATTTCGTCTTAAATTACGTAGAATGCTTATGTAGCCTACTGTTCATACTAAACGTGTGATTTTAAACACTGCCTTGTAACATACACTTATAAAATATTGTGTTCTAACCAAGTAATGGCTGAATACGAAACAGTGGAAGTTTTTAAACACTCTATAAAATAATTTACTCTGCTTTTTAAAAAATTTCAGTTGAGCTGTGATCTTCAACGGTTATAATTATATCTCTTGGTTGTTTTATTTTTTAAAACGATAGACCTTCCAGGAGATAGCTATAGTATGATCTTTGCTATTTCTTTTACAGAATTAAAAGAAATATAAAAATGAAAAGTTGACGACAAATCTGTCTTGCTACACAGCAGGGTCTGGTCGGTTAATAACACTTTCTGTATGTATTGTGATATAAGATTCTTTATTTGTCCCATCAATCACCAAAACCTCGTGACTCAAAGTAATGAGATGCTTCGTGTTAATCGGTGATGTGATGTGGATGCAAGACCGCTCAGAAATCTGTGTAGCTCAGACCTCGTGGTAGGATGCTGAAACAATAGAAAAAAAAATACATTACGAAAAATTTACCTCGGAGTTTCTGATGGGAAAAGTCTGGTTAAAATACGTACAGTGTATAACAGATGGAAGAGACCTCGCTCGAATCGCATGAAATCAGTTCAGATTTATTTGCATTGGTGTTGTAATTGCGTTACGATATGAAATAACATCGATACTAAATAAATATTTTCCTTCAGAAACAGTGAGAAGCTTGGTTTCCGTATATCCTTAATTTAGAAGATAATTTAAAATATAACCTAAACGAGGAAGAATACGGTGCATTTATTTTGTTAATGAAATTACTACAAATAAGCAAAATACCAGAGATTGCCTAATCTGAAGCAGCCATTATTTAAAAGCTGATACTCGCTCAGCTGCTAAATTCCGACCTTTTGTGGGATCCCAAGTTTTCATTTCCGTGTTCCAAACAGAACTTCAGTTTATCCTCTTCCCTGACAGACAAATAAACAGTCCAGACCCTCATCAGTCTTTATCTAAAATCCAATTTAATATTATCCTTCCATCTACGACTAGATGTCACAAGTGCTCCCTTTCCTTCCCATTTTCCGTCTCATGATGCCTCTGAGGTCGCGTTACTAGTCCCCCCCCTCACCCCTTGTAGATGCCTTGTATCAGACAATGCAGTAAAATTGCCAGAGCTGCTAACTGGCAGTGTGGAAATCGGCTCGTTCAAATCTCTAGCCGTGTCGAGAATTGCGGAAAGAAGGTTCTACGTTTCTAAATTCAGTAGACTCCCGGATGTCCGGCTTGGTTGGGAAATACATTTTTCCGGTTAATCGAAACCCCGGATAATACGGGGAAAAAAACCCCCATCAAAACACGCAAATGTAACAAGTACGCAAATTTATTTAAAGACATATACTACTTACGTTTTTAAAAGATTTAATAATAACAGAAAGGATTTTATGTAAAATTTAATACAATACACACCAACTATTTTCTAAAGAAAACAATTCCACCTGAAGTAAAAACGTTCTGGTTGAATTACGTTAATATGTTTTATTTATTATTTATTTAGTGTTCTGTCTGACGACAGGTCCATATGAACAGGATCCTTCCATCCTTTTCTCTTCTCGGACTGGGACCTGTTCATATACGTTCTTGGCAGATGATCCAGAAGTGGTTTGCCATTGCCTTCTTCTGTGTGTGAATGGAGTAATTGTTGGGATGCCACGGAGGAAAACTCCGTGTTGCCTAGACCACGGCCTTGCCCAACACAAGTTATAAATTCGGGCACCGCCGGGAATCGAACCCGAGACCCCAGGATTACAAGGCCAGCGTTCTAACCGCTAGACCACCGTGGCTCGTTAATACGTTAAATATTAATAATATCATTTTTGTATTTATTAATTCCTTTTGAACGTTCTAACTTCTGTTTCAGATTTTCAAAGTTAAATTTTAATTTTCATTTAGACCAGATATACCCCGGTCAATCCGCCCCTGTATGATCGTGAGTCTGCTGTGGCCACTTCGCGGGTAACCAGCCGACTGTGCGTATCCGGTCAAACGGTCTGACGACTGTCGGTCCGTCACGAGCGAACGAATATATTCGGCCGTGTGCGTTGAAGTCCCAAAAAACCGCACAGAGCGTTTGTTGCTGGAACGGGTTTTGGACAAAACGTGGCCAAATATAAAAATCAATACATCGTTAAAATTTCACTTAGTGACAATCCAAAGTTCTTGGGAGAATTGTCTGCAGGTAATCGAAACTCGGATTAACAGCACGTCAAAGTCTGCTTTGTTCGTGCCTAAGATACTCCATCCCTCTTAACAAATTGCGGTGACTGTATTTTTCGCGATTCAGCAACCAAACCACTTTTTCTGTTGTCAGATTTCTGGTCGTCAGAGCGCCGAGTTCTGGGAAGTTGCGTTACGTAGTTTGGTATAAATTCGCAGTAAACATGTTAAACATCAATTAAAGAAACGTCGTTAAATAAAAAAAATTGAAGTACGTAACTTTTATAAGAAGACAGGAGAGGACAAAGAAGGAAAAGTTCCAGGACCGCGTATTACGAAAGCCAGATAATAAACACCGACATTTTAATGTAATATTTCGATAAGATAGCCAACAGAGTGGCCTCGTTGTCCTAAGGCATCCGCCTTGCTCGTACCAACATCGAGATCGTAGGTTCGAAGCACATTCGATGCATGGATCGTTATCCAAGCCTTTTTGTGTTGCATTGCCCTGTGTGGGGGAAGAGGCCTTGCGACAGCGTCTCTCGAAACGTCGAGAAGTATTTCGAGAATCTGGCAGGAAACTGTCCAGAAAGGGCAAGGCTCGTACTAAGCTACAGCAGTAATTAGTCGTTTCTGTGCTCCATGTCTGCAGGCACTCGTATTAATCACAAACCAAGAATGGCAGCTCCACTTTAACTTGTACGCCCACGCCTGCTGAAGGAGGCCTGAAAGTAGCGCCTCTGATACTCCAGCGTGTGCAGTTTTTCTTCCAAAGCACGCACTTTGTAGTTTCATTGTTGAGACAATTCTCACTTTGTACAGTTTCATTGTTGAGACAATTCTCACTTTGTACAGTTTCATTGTTGAGACAATTCTCACTTTGTACAGTTTCATTGTTGAGACAATTCTCACTTTGTACAGTTTCATTGTTGAGACAATTCTCACTTTGTACAGTTTCATTGTTGAGACAATTCTCACTTTGTACAGTTTCATTGTTGAGACAATTCTCACTTTGTACAGTTTCATTGTTGAGACAATTCTCACTTTGTACAGTTTCATTGTTGAGACAATTCTCACTTTGTACAGTTTCATTGTTGAGACAATTCTCACTTTGTACAGTTTCATTGTTGAGACAATTCTCACTTTGTACAGTTTCATTATTGAGACAATTCTTACTTTGTACAGTTTCATTGTTGAGACAATTCTCACTTTGTACAGTTTCATTGTTGAGACAATTCTCACTTTGTACAGTTTCATTGTTGAGACAATGCTCACTTTGTACATTGTACAGTTTCATTTACAGTTTCATTGTTGAGACAATTCTCACTTTGTACAGTTTCATTGTTGAGACAATTCTCACTTTGTACAGTTTCATTGTTGAGACAATTCTCACTTTGTACAGTTTCATTGTTGAGACAATTCTCACTTTGTACAGTTTCATTGTTGAGACAATGCTCACTTTGTACAGTTTCATTGTTGAGACAATGCTGTCTTCTCGGAATTTCCTTCGGTATGTCTCTCGTAATAATCAAGAAAACGTTCTGGGCCTTTAAACATCAAAAGCAGGATCGATTTATCGATCTTTTAGTTAGTATCTTCTGCGCCTAACTCTACCACAATTAGCAGCCCGCCACATTCTGTTCTGCCAGCAGATTTACTATGACGGCAGTAGCAAAGGTTTAATTTTCAAGTAGCCAGCGGAACCCATTTTGTGCAGTTTCTGTGTGAAATTTCCTGGTGTTAACTTCACCATCCTTATGGTGACTTGATTTTGTACAATGGACAAGTACGACTTCGAGGCTGACGACCACCCAGTGTTCGCGGTTCCATCTATCCCACTGTTTTCTCTACGACTGAAAGTGTTCGAGTGGCAATGGGAAACACTTAACAAAAGAGACGCGAGGTTCTCGAAGCAGGGAGGATATCGATTGTGGTAACCAGAAATGTGGCAGACACTTTGCTCCGAAACTTAACGGCGTTACAACCAGAACTCTCTCAAGAGTCAGAACTAAATTATTCATCCTTGGAATGCTGGAAACAAATTTTTCTAAACAGTTACGCTACGCGACAATTAAAATGTGTGTAAAATTGTGAGTAATGAAAAAGGCAGTTCAATGTTACCGCTTCGAATCCGATTTATAGCTCCAACAAAAACTTTTAAGCATTCAGATAAATTAAATAATTCGACTACATACGGTACGGACGTTTTTCCGATAGGTTCTTATTTGATTCTATACAGATTATCTACGCGAGATAACAATTAAATTATATTTTCCAACCAAATCGTGTTTAACATATTTATTATTAGTTCCCGCAATTACATATTCATATTTAACTCCAATGGCAGTGGATAGGAATTTTACACACTCCAGCGAAAATATCTTAATATAGAACAAAAACATTGCAACTGGATACTGCAACGGAATGCAGCTATATTTGGAAAACGTGAAGAAAATAGACCAATTGGAAGAACTAAAAGCAGATGGGAGGACATCAAAAACTGGATATAAAACAAATGCGGCGTGTGTGTGAACTGAATTCATCTGCCGTGTGACAAAAACATTAATTAGAAGGTTCATTACCGTGATTCATAAGCGGGGATTAATTTGTTAACCAGCTGATCGACTGTTCACTTATGAATCAGGTCTGTGACCTATTCAGCTAGAAATGCCAAGTCAGCAACGCGGAAAAAATGTACTCTAATTACAGTTGCAAAATGTAACGGAAAATATATGAAGGACATTTCTGTGATTCGGTGACCGAAGCGTTGCAAATGCATCGGTAAACATCCGTTGTGGGAATATAAATTGAAAAATAAATGGACCCATCCGTAATTGAGCATAAAGTTGGAACGGTGTCGAATGATGGCATTACGAAATTCACAATTAATTTCCTGGTTTGAGCTAAGCGTGTGTAACATTACGACAATCTATCAACATGCGGCCATCTCGCACATCTGGAATAAATCGAACTCGATATGAGGATATTGTCCTAACAGGTCACCCTAAAGCGATATATTTTGTTTTATTTTGAGCAATTATGATCGCGAACTTTACGAGTGCTCCGGTCCTATTCAAAATATGGCTCCGAAATATTATCCACAGTTTGAAATTCACCTCAGGCCTGTTTTAGCATATCGCCATTTAAGCAATTATTTAATGACGATACGAATATCTAAGGTTTGAAACTCAACTCTATTTATATGCGTCTATTATTATTTTATTTATTTATTGTTCTGTCTGACGACAGGTCCATATGAACAGGATCCTTCCATCCTTTTCTCGGACTGGGA